ACCCCCCCCCCCCCCCCCAAAAAAAAAAAAAATCCAAAAAAAATCGAGAAAGACGCGGGGAGGAGGCGGGCAGGTCAATGTGAACTGCACTTGCCGGACGTCAAGTTAAAATGACAATGAAGCTATTCAAAGTACTTTATACTTTACATAAATAAAACATGAATTTGACACCAGACATAGCTAAGTTTACAGATCAAAAATGATCGAAGGGTTACTCCTATAGCTTTAAAACATGACCATCTGTTAAGTGTAGCAAATCACCAGAGGTTTCATATAAAAGATGTGCTTACGTTGTAATAATTTTTTTCGGTTTGGCCAATGAACGGCTAGGACAATCATCGTATACATGACGAGAAGAGTTGCAAACAAATAACGTAAAGGCCAAAACTTGTTTATTTACAGGTCAGGTAGACGTACAGCATATGCCGTTCACTTATGTAACTTACAATCCTGATTCCCGAGATAACAATCTGTGTGACAAAAGAATACTCGTTATAACTAATCTTGAAACCTAGAATAGAAAAAATAAACCAAAACACGTCGCGTACAATACTTGAACTGTTCTTACCGTTTAGGCCGTTTAAAAAGACAGCAAACATCCGTTGGACTAAGACTTCTGCACAGATCTTAAACTCACATGTAAACAAAACAAAATGGCGGGTTGCTCCGAAGAGAAAAACAGGCGCGGCAGCTAAGCCCTTGCTGATTGAACCATTGAACGATTAAACCAAAAATCTCAAATCGCTCAAGAAAATGGTCTGCTGCCGGCTGATGCCGGGCAGCAAATAAACCAACTGGTATTACTTCCGAGCTGACTTATTCATCCGCCGACCTCTTCATATACCTGAAACAGGCATCAGTCTTGTCTGGCAAAAAGTGGGAAGATGTGATGCCCTGCTCAGACGAGAACACTAGCAGCAAGGCAAGTGTGATCTACTTCATGTCGCGAGGAAAGTCTGAAATCAAGACGTTTTAATTATTTGAACGAAACACACAAAGACTTCAGAACCGCACACCAACCTTAGGCGCACAGCCAAGTCACATGAGCAGTGGCTAGGCCAGGGATAGCTATTGACACCTGGCTCGTTCTAGTTAGGTTTCACTGTCGATGTATTGGAATGAATAACGAACTTTATCAAGCACTGGCCTCTACCGATGAAGATTGGATATGCTGTGACTGTGCTTTACCTCCATTCTCTGACTCGTTTTTTTCTAATGCATCACTGGACGGAAATGTATCAATCGAGTCTGAGGTATCGGTGCCTTCGAATTATTCTATTAAGCCTAATAGAATAAGACCTTCGAACTCTCTACGTTGTCTTCTCATTAATGCCAGGAGCTTAAGAAATAAAGTCCTCGACCTGCAGGTTCTACTTTTAGAGAATCATATACCTATTATCGCTATAACTGAAACATGGTTGGATGCTAGTGTTATGGACTTCGAACTGGGTCTGAATAACTACTCTATTCACCGTTGGGACAGGCAAGATCGAAGGGGAGGCGTTGTTCTCTTAGCACTCCGCAGAGAATTAATTGCCATAAGGAGACCGGACTTGGAAATTGATGGTGCTGAAATAGTGATGGTTGAGATCTGTCAAAGGTCTAAGGATAGTGTGCCACTTGGTGTTTGTTACAGACCACCAAATGCCAAAATGGAGTACTCTCTAATCCTTCGACAATGTCTGGAAAGAATTGATGCCACGAGATGTACCACCTTCTACTTAGTCGGGGACTTTAATTTTCCATGCATTGACTGGCACTCTATATTTCCTACCTCATCGGATGCCCTCACTTTGGACTTTGGTCTATGCTTAATGATCACTTTTTGGTGCTGTGTAATCTTATCCCAACAAGAATTTTGAGTGGATCTGCTAATGTACTGGACTTGATCTTGACTAGAACCCCTGAATTTATTAGTAATATTGTGGTTCTGCCTGATCACTTCGATTCTGACCATTTGCCTGTGGCTTTCGACATCAAAATGCACTGTGGACGTCCCCATCAGTCAACTCCTAGGCAGGTTTATGACTTTAAGAAAGCTAATTCTTCTGTACTAAATGAATTCTTAAGTTATGTTCCATGGAGTTGTGCATTCCTGGAGGACGACGTGGATATCTGTGCTGATCAAGTCAGAGACCCTCTGCTCGCTGCTGCTGATATATGCATCCCTCAATTCACAGTGAAAAGATAGACAAACCCCCCACGGATCAATAAGGAAGTTCTGCGTCTGATCAAAAAGAAGAAAAAACTGTGGCATCAATTGAAAGCTCAACCATCGGAATCTCTAAGGCAAAAGTTTAAGGAGTTAAGAAACACAGTTAAAACGTTAATAAGATCAGAGTACCATAAATATTTGCAGCACCTTTCGGATGTCGTTAAGGAAAGTCCCAAAAGATTTTGGTCTTATCATTCCATAAAATCTAAGTCTAAAGGGCTTCAAGACATTAGTACCTACAACGGAATTACTGCAACTAAGCCACAGGAACAAGCTAACTTGTTCAACATTCATCTCCATTTTGTCTTCTGTAAAGAAAGCTCTGGCTTGCCTTCTTTATTGGTGTATAACATCCAGGATCACCAGCGTGTCGATTGTTACACAGATTCTGTGTCATGTAATACAGTTGAAGTCCAAGGGATATTACAAGAGATTGATACCAGCAAGTCTTCTGGGGTAGAAAAAATTCCTGCTCGGTTGCTGAAGGAAACAGCGCATTTGTCTGCAGTCCCACTAAGTATGCTTTATAATCTGTCTTTCATGAAGAGTCAAGTTCCTACATTATGAAAACATGCTAACATCACTCCCATTCATAAGGACGGTGAGCGAGAACCAGTTGAACATTAGAGAGGTATCTCACTGCTGTCCATCACAGGCAAGTGTCAAGAAAGATTAGTATATAATGCAAATTTTTGGACAAGTTATCGAGTTCATTCACAGTTCCCTCCACGGATTCCTAAGAGGCAGATCCTGTACAACGCAGCTTCTCTTGGTACACCATGACTGGTCTAAGGCCCTTGATAATGGTGGTCAAGTTGATGTGGTATTCATCGATTTTGCTAAGGCCTTCGACCTTGTAAACCGCTAAATACTTTTGAATAAGTTATACAAGTATGGAATTCGTGGTAACCTTTTGGACAGGTGTAGAGACTATTTCACTAACCGTCGGCAAAGAGTAGTTGTAAAAGGGGAAGTATCTGATTGGCTAACAGTTACCTCTGGCGTGCCGCAAGGCTCCCTGTGGGGTCCCTTATTTGTTTTAATTTATATTAAATATTTACCAGGGGTTATCAGTGAGGATAGCTCATTTGCCTTATATGCTGATGATAGGAAATTATGTAGGGTCATTAATTCTCCTGAGGATATTACATCCTTTCAGGGTGACCTTGATAAGATTTCTGACTGGTGCAATGAGAATAAAATGATGAGAATTACTAGAAAAAAGAGTCCTAGGCCTCTGGTTAGGGACTATCACATTAATGGTCAAAGTTTGCATAGTGTGCATATATATAAGGACCTAGGTTTGCTTACTAGCTCTGATTTATCATGGAATTCTCATATAGACTCTATAATTGCTAGGGCTAATAGCTATAGGGTTCTTGGTTGGTGAAAAGAACGTGTAAGGACTTTAAGGATATTACTAAATTAAGAACGCTTTACTGCAGTCTTGTTAGACCTTTGCTTGAATACTCTTGCAACCCTCCAAGTTAAAGTTTTTGCTTGTTCGCCATTTGGTGATCAATTCTTTTGGTTTAGGGAGACTATTTTACAAATCAAGTCGCCAGCTTCAAAATTTTAGGCGCCATGGCGACTAAAATGGTCGCAACTTGGAGGGTTGTCTTGTGAGACCTGGAATCCTCACACGCAACTCAATATCAATAGATAAGAGGCAATTCAGAGGAGGCCAACTCAGTTCATCCTAAAATCTAATGAGGATTATAATACTAGACTAAGTCTATTAAATCTACAAAGTTTATTTTATTAAAAGGAGATTTACGAGAGATGTTGTATTTTTATCTAATTTGAATAATGGACATTATAATATAGATATCTCTGACAAGTTGTCTTTCTGTAAAGATCGTAACTTATGACTTAAGAAAAAATGACTCACTTAACTTTGTTTGTATCTACAGTAGAACCAATAGTTTTAAATAAAGTTATTTTATCCGTATTTTCAATGAATGGAATAGCTTACCTAATATATATTAAGAATCTGTTAGCATTTTTAGTTTTAAGCACAAAGTTATACCATTTCTTGGTAATAGTTAGTCATATACTTTGAGCAGATTTCGTGTGGGTGCGGAACGCCAGGGCTGGTGCCAACTGGCATGACGCAGTCGCGTTACGATTCATGACTATGGTTTCTCATACTCGTACGAGATCTTCTCTAGTATTTTCTTAGATTCCTTTCTGTACATTTTGAATTTCGGATATTTTAGATTCTTTTTTATTTTAGATTTGGATACGATTTGTATTATATACATCTCGATATTATAATGTAGTTTCCTGGGGAGCATCTCACGTATCGTGCCTAGCGCGCTTTTGGATACTTCCCTCTCCTCCTACTTACTGTATTGGAGAAAACTGCAATAAATAAAAATCGGCAAGACATGGTCGTCGAAAATTAGAGCTGAATCCGAGGGTTTGGCGTGTTTGAACTTAAGTGACAAGGAGAATGCAATTTAAGCACTTCTTTCAGTACCAGCTCCATATAGCCTGAGAGCAAACGTTTTCTAATATCGTCGCCTCTGCTGAGTCTAGCTCCAGACAGCACATACATGTATGACTGGTTTTTACTCACTCGATTTTGGGGTACCTATCCATCCTTAAGCTTATAACAGAAATAATCACGGATGCATACTAGTTGCTAATTTTCTGGTGAAATTCAGACTGCCAACAACTCGGGTTATTGCAAAAATACAGCTTTTCGCATTTTTTTTTTCTCAGTTCACCCACTATTCAGAATCGATAGGATCAACCTTAACATGAACAAAAAGCGTGCCATTAACAACGTAGCAAGGCTCACTCAAGTTCGTGTGAGAAATAAATCTTGCTATCCCCTGTGATTCATCCACCTCGTCAGCGACGGGCCTCCCAGTTAAAAAAGTGACATTTAAAGAGCTAACAACGTTAGACCTACTAGAAAGTTGATCTTTTTGGTCTATTAACGTAAATGTGACTTTTTGACGAAAAGGCCAAGGCAGTATACCGTCGAAACCGCTTTTCATGAGAAGAACATATATTGAAAGATATCTGTGTCTCTTTGACTTATCACCATCTGGCTCAATACAAAGTCTTAGCTTATAACCTTGTCTTCCTGCATAGAAAGGCACACTTTTTATCCTTTTATTGCATTCGTTCTTTGCTTGTCTCAAGATCTCCCAAAATCCAGTCACCCTCCACACGAAGGACGAGGATTCTTCATTCAATCGCGCAATTGTCTTGCTTTGTTCATCCACTTTCCTCCTTAGGGTAGAATTGGCAACTGTCAGTTCTTGTACCTGTTTCTGAAGAGAGTCGAGTTTTTCTGTTGCTGATTTTAGATTTTTAAGCGTTAACTCGATGTGAAGTGTCGTTGATGTCTGAAGGTGATCTCCCACTTCTTTTCGCTGAATCTGCGCCAGAAAAAATAAAACTTCCAGTCATTATTTTGCTATTTTATATTGCTTTGTGATTTTTTTTATGCCCTATAACCAATAGTTTTGAGTAATTTGTCTTGAAAAACACAACGGCCGCCCGTCCAACCCCCGACCCCACCCCCTTTTTCGGCAAATTCCAGTCTAATAGGCCACTTCCGAGTTCCAAAAACCCTCACTTTCAAATTGATGCCAAGTGCACAACCTTTCTTGAGAAAATAAGTTTTATTTACATGAAAATGAAAAATCATTTCCATATAAAAGGCTGAGCAGTTAACCTCGTTTTGATACAGAGTCTCGGGGGATTGCGGAAGTGGTTTATTCTATTTTGCCTGTCCTTCGCCAAAGATACCTTTCAACCGTTTTCATATGCTAGAATGATAACATTAAGAAAACCCAGGCCAGTTTCAATGTACTTTCGTCGATGCAAAAAAACCTGGAAACAATAACGTTTGATTATCAGTCAGCACGAAATATGTCTGACACAACCCCAAAATCGGGTGCATTTATAAACGATTTTCTCACGGCTTTATGTTAGATTCCTCAAGCACGCTATCTTCAGAAATCCCTTTCAATCATAGTTATTGAAGTGGAATGGTTATGAAACCCGTCAGACTTCTTTGTTTTATCTTTTTGATGCCTTTTTTGAACCTGACCGTGCACAACGTTCAACAGCATCCTTATCATTTTGAACTTACTGACGAATAGAAATATCGCATTAATTCACTCAGTCACAATTTGTGAACAAAACACAAAGGATATTGCACGGTCAGGGAGCTTCCAACATAAACTACGGTACAATTGTTTTCAACATTGATGTTTGCCGGCTTTCTTAACCAGTCTCCTCTACTAACTATGCTTTCAATGAAAAGGGAACGTTGTACAACTGTTTACTCTAACTTTTTATCAAAACTGGGCACTGACTTTGCGGTGACAAGACACACATTACTGACAGTTTACCTTTGTATCGCATCCGATCTGAGAATATGGACAGGAGGTCAATGTCAGCGGACATTTGTTGTCAATATGAGCTGCAATCTAAAACGACAATGGCCAATAGGCTGGTCTTAGTACCTTCAGTACATACAGAATATCAAAATAATAAGGAAAACGACTGAAAACACCTAGTGTACAGCGATATATTCGCCTCTATGAAGATGAATTAAATCGAAACAGAAGTTGTAAAGAGGGCGGATCGCAGAACCTCCTGAATAATGTGGTGCCTAAGTAGTAATCAAAGATCTCTCTTGATATGAAAATATTAAAGAGAAAAAACAACAAATCCCACAAAGTATACTGCATGGTCTTTAGAGGCATTAGTGTGACAATATGTTGCTTATTTTGTGACTGCCGTAAGCATCTCTATAGAACAAAGATAACAATCGTCTAGCAGTGAAATAGGAAACCGAGTACTTTTCTATTCGAAAAAAAGTGGCGGCATTATTACTTTTTTTATATTTTTGTGCGTGCAGTGTATATAAACCATATTTATTTCTCGATTGCATTTGCAGAAGTCAAACGAACCTTTACCTTGAAACAGTCAACGCATGAGGGCAAATTACCATGTAGACATGTAGACAATGGGATAACTAACTTTAAAGGGTACGTTCGAGTGTTAGTATTCCAGAATAAGAATACTCGACAGTTTTGTTACAAATCTCTTTTACTGTGATTTTTGGACCATACATAGGCTTCTTTCATCGGAATTATTTATTTTAGCAGATATCTAAATATTGCAGTACAATGAATGACAAATTAAAATAAGTGATTTCTTGAGTAAATTTCATTAATTCTTATTCCGGAATACAGTAAATCGAACACGCCCTAAGTTCGCCAATATTTTGGACCAAAGTGTAAGAACGATGATTGTGAGCAGTAAAACCTATGCAAACCCACAATACCTCCTCCTTAGGAACTAATTCACCGCAACCGATTAGGCATTCCTCGGGTTTCCTCTTGCAATTATCAACATGTTCCTATGGATACAAACCATTTTTTAAATATATCTCACGTATTTGACTACCACCAGAAACTCATAAGGGGTTGAAACGTGTAACTCTCATATGTTTGCTTTGTCCGATGCTCGTGATTATTCATTTTCGAAAGTACCATATTTGGAACGAGAAGAAGAGATAACTGACCAATCAAACTCTGTAAACAACGTGACGTAATTTTACTTCATGTTCCCGCGCCCGCTTGAAAAGAATGGCCGACAAACGGGGGAAAAACTAGCGAAAGCAGAGAAAGCTTTCAAAGGTTGAAACCAGGAATCTTACCGAAACACAGAGCAGAATATTATTGCCTTACCACGCGGGCCAAACATAACATTATGAAACCCATTGACGTCCTCGCAACTTCTTGAAGTTGTCACTTCAAAAAACGATGCCTCGATGACCCTCTGCCAGTAAACTTATATTGCAAACAGGCTTTTAAAATTCTTATATTAAAAGTCTAGAATAAACAGTAAAAAATATTTTCGAATAAAATTCATTAGCTGCGTATCGAAAGTGTTCAAAACCTGAACCTGACATCTTCAGAATGAATGTGAGAAGCATTTTAAAAGCTTAAATTATTTGAACTTAGATGTTGTAGTCACTATCGTGTTTTCAGCTAATTTTATGAATGAACTTACTCAAAACAATAGACAGAGAAGCTGTTTCTTTAATTTTTATTCAAAGTCCAAAAAGTTAATCCTTTAAAGCAATTCGGAAAACACTATCTGGATCGTGGATCCGTTCACGCAAGTGACATCGGCTAAGCACATGGCAAAATTCAACACAAAATCCATCTCAAATTGGGGCACATTTTGTAATTTTTTTTAGCGCCGAAGAGAAAAATTTATAAAACGTCTATGAAACATTTAAAAATACATAAATTTCCTTTCAAAAACGCAATTTTCTTGGCCATAGAGTGCAAAATGTACCTGAAAATTCAGCAAAAACTTCGCTGACTTGGTTGCATTTCAAAACAGACCATGGGCTCCGCCGTGAAGAAAACAAGGTTGAATTCCTCGAAGGACGATTTCTTGATGAAAAGCTTCCCTTTCTCAACAACAAGAAATCTGAGCATTCTTTTGAACTTTCTCTTTCCATTTTTTGTCTTTTTACGGTGTATTTTTAACCTTGAAAAGAACTCTTGTCTTAAAACATCTGCATGGTGATCGCGCAGCAGCCATTTTGTTGAAAATGGATATCCGTCACTAAGATTTCCAAATATGGTCAAAATGAATATTCACAAGCATTGAACGCGAGTTACACGTTTCAACCCCTTATGGGTTTCTGCTACCACTGAATTCCGATAACTTAAAGCAGGACTCCCATACTGGCACCAACAAGGGGCGTAGCTGCCTTTACGCATAAGTCCGGTATTAACAAATTAAAATTTGGGTTAAAATGAACTCAAGTAATCGCTTGATAACAGGGTGTGAAAATGCATCTAAAACATGTACCAATGTCTGTCGTGGTCATGGGCATGCAAAATTGGCACTAATTCTACGTATCTACTTGGTCTTCAAGTAAATACATTGTCGTTAAAGGGTCCCCTTTTTTACTTTAATTAGCTGTAGAATCATTAGGTAATTGTAGTTTAAAACCTAGCTAGTAATTTTGGAGGGTCTCAGCTCTTAAACCAACACCGTTTAAACCGTTTTTTTCAGTATTGTTTATTTTTGTTTTTCGCTGGGACTAACTTCATGGAATTAACCACCATTTTGAATTATGTTCAAAGTAGCCATAGAATTCAAAAACGTTTATTGCGGTCAGATATTCTTCCACTATGACCATATAGCAAAAAGTAACTGTGATGTATTTGTTTATAGGTCAGCGCTAATTTGCCTTTCCACTAAGTCCTCACTCCCCTTTCCCGCCCTTTGAGGACTTCTACAACTCGGGTTTAATAAGAAAATATGGCTGGCTACGCCCATCTCAACTAACATAAAGACCTGCCCATGCTAACAAACCATATGTACCAATATTATACAGAAGAAAGGGCTATAAATTGTGGTTTATATTGTAGCGTTATGTACAAGGTAGCCGTTTTTATTAAGACTAGGTTTTATCTACAGACTTGTCAATACAATGCATATGCGCAAACTGTTTATCATTAAAACTTACTTGGAGCAAACACTTTGGATGTGGCTCACTACAGTGATCACAGGTCACCATCCTCCACTCACACACGGTGGCCACGTGTTCATCCAATTTTTGTCTGGTTGTTTTTACAACACAGTTCCCATTTGGGCAAGATATAAGTTTGAAAGAGCAAGATAATAGGTGATCCTGATAAAAACCAAACATAGATATTCGTTTGACTGTAGCAGTAATCATAGGTGCAATCTCGCAAACTTGCTAGGCCAGTTTGGGATCAATAGACCTTTTTAGCTTGACTAGCTTGTATTTTTTGTATTCCCATTCCATACTATGTGATTTTACCCCAAAGAACAGTTTCTTTTACAAATGTGCATATGTATGTATAACATCACATAGTGTGTATTTGAAAATAAAACACACAAGCTCAAAAGGTCTTTTGGTGGAGGTCCAACATTACTGGGACATAAAAACGGTGTGATGGTGAAGAAGGTCAACATACTGATGATGGTCATGGAGAAACTAGAGAATTTGATGATTGTTGTAGAGCAACAGGAAAATGGTCTTGTAAGTGGTTGGAGCTTCAAATGCAGTGATGAAAGACACTGGCCATGAGAAAATACAACTCTTGCAGATTTCTTTTCATCCCCATTCTACATATATTCTCGCTACCTCCTCGACCGCTGCATCAATCATGCTACTACATTGCCATATACTTTCCCCAATCAGTCCTGGTACTCTATTTTCAGTATTTCTTTACTGATATATCGGTATATTGCACATTGGTACATTGGAACCTCTCCTTTGCGACACCTTCTCCATTCAAAGGACACAAGATTTGCTCTCAGAAAAGCGTCCACATAACCTTTGTATCTGTTACCTCTATTTAAGGAACACCTCCATTAAAGGGACACAAATTTTGGTCCCAGAAAAACGTCCAAATTAACTTTGTATCTGTTACCTCTATTGACACACCTCTATTCAGGGGAGAGGGACACTTTTCTGATTCCCGAAACCCGGATTAAACCTCCATTCAGGGGGAACCTTAGCACTCAAAAAGTGACTGACCACAAAGAGGGTTATAATCTTTAAGTGTACACCAATCCCAATGATGGCAGCTTTCGCAAACTGAATTATATAATTATCTCACTCAAATGGGTGTGTTGTACGTGTGTGTGCTCAACAAATAACGTCACAGAGATAAGTGAATGACGATTCTTTCAAAAATTGTCTTTGCTGGTTAATTAATAACAAGACCCACGGTAACCCAACCTCTATTCAGGAGACGCCTTTATTCAAGGGACACTTGTTCGGTCCCGAGGGTGTCCCCTGAATAGAGGTTCCACTGTATTCTAGTCAGATAGATAATTGAAGGCATCAGTGTTAACTTCCCTTGCGTAAGTGAGAAGCTAGCTGTAGTTGAATATCACCTCCTTTTCCCTCAGTTCTCCAGTCCATTCACATCCAGTACTTGAGCATTTTATACAAAGGGAGAGGATCTTTCTTTCAGTGGCTTTGTCAGGGAAAATATCCTGTGTAATGAACGCAGTGGATATATTTGCATAGTGGCATTGATATATAATGTTTTATTCTTTGGGGAAACTGCACTCCACTGTCAAGACACGAAAAGCGAAACCAACACTCTTTGTCCAGATTTTGAATTAGATTGGACAATTAGGCAAACACAAAGTATCAACTAGAGGCCCTAGAAGAGTCGTTTGCTTGACATCGATTTAAGGTGGCTCGATACAGTTTTTCAAGGCCAATACCTCCCAAGTTTGAGGATAAACTACGTCGCCATAAACAAAGTTTTGGAAAAATTGCCACCACAGTTGTATTAGATAAAGATGAAAATTTGTTATGATCAGGATTACAACGGCATCGGAGTTGTCATAGCAACGAAATGACGCTATCACCAATTTTACTTGCAGCAGTATATCTCAGCACTGAGAACTGTTCTTCCAAAATCGTTCACGGGAGCGTTTTCCTTCAATAGCGGCCTCGACGTTCGTAAAGTTTAAGCGAAACCTGTAAGAGCGTTATCGAGATATTTTGGGATGAAGTTTTAATGGTTAGAAACACAGTAAAAAATGGACAATATTGTTGTTTGGCCGTTATCTGTAGAAAATGAAGCGCTTTTTACATGCAATTTAACCTCATAGTAGTTTCAATCTTTTTAAAAACGTGTGTGAAAGATCATGGAGATAGCTCCAACCGATTGCTAGAAAGAAGGGTTTTATTAGTATGTATCGAAGCGCTCTTGTTAGCGGTTTTGTAAACATTTTGGTCTTCTTAAACAAATTAGGGAATAATTTTTAAACCGCTCGATAGAGTTTTTTTAAAACTTAAGATTCTTGAGATTAACCTTTCTTTTACACGACCTTTTAGTTTCAAGATTATTGATACATTGTAAGGCAGTAAAATAAGGGCTACAATTCGTTACTTTTCTATCGGAAGTTTCGTTATTACAAGTGAAAACCTCTCATTATTCAAGGCATTGTCTCCAAGTTTCATTTTCACGTGAACAACAGTAACTAACAATGCATTTGACATATGCAAAAATGCTAGCTATTGTTATGCGCGAAAATATGAACCTTGGAGATAATACCCCGAATAATGAGAGGCTCACATTTGTAAACACAAAATTTCTGCCAAAATATTGGCGAATTTTAGCCCTTATTTTACTGCCTTACAATATATCAATCACCTTGAAACTAAAGGGTCATATAAAAGGAAGGTTAATCTCAAGAATATTAATTTTTTTTAAAAATCTATCGAGCGGTTTAAAAATTATTCGCTAATTTGTTAAAGTAGACCAAAATGTTCAAAAACCGCTAACAAAAGCGCCTCGAAACATACCAATCAAATCCTTCTTTCTAACAATCGGCTGGAGATATCTCCGCGGTCTTTCACACACGTTTTTAAAAAGATTGAAACTACTATGAGGTGAAATTGCATGTAAAAAGCGCTTCATTTTCTACAGATAACAGCCGAACATCAAGATTATCCATTTTTTACCGTATTTCTAACCATAAAATCTTTATCCCAAAATATCTCGATAACGCTCTTACAGATTTCGCTTAAACTTCACGAACATCGAGGCCGCTATTGGAGGAAAAAGCTCCCGTGAATGATTTTGGAAGAACAGTTCCCAGTGCCCAGAAATACTTCTGTAAGTAAAATAGGTAATAGCGTCATTTCGTTGCTATGACAACTCCGATGTCATTGCAACCCTGATCATAAAAGATTTTCATCTTTATCTAATACAACTGTGGTGGCAATTTTTCCAAAACTTTGTTTATGGCGACGTAGTTTATCCTCAAACGTCAAGTAATGGTTGAAATATAACCTTGGGTATCAGTAGATGCTTGAAACTCGACAGGTTATACTTAATGGCGTTTACGACGATTATCTGTGCGTCAAATAACATTATAGACAAACAAGCGAACCCAGAGTCTAGTATTATTGTCAAGCTGTCAAGAGTCCATTTACGGATTTTTCGTTGCGTTCGAGGTAACGAAGCAAAGTTTTGAGACAAATAATCCAGTCTATTTTGGATTCCGCCAAATACACGTGCTCTACTTTTTGTTCTGCAACGGTCGACACAGTTTGACTGATTGACTTTTAGTGCTCTGTTAACACGGTTGACACAAGTTGGAAAGTTTTTTGTTTTTTTGAAAGTTTTTATTTGCAAAGCATTGGATTTTCAGACAAACAGAGAAGGATAAGAAAAAAAAAGTAAAAAATGCCAATATGTATAACTGAAAAACAAACAAAGCTGTATTTAGTGTACTAATTTACCTTATCACAAACGAGCTCCTCTCTGTCAACAGGGCAGTTGCAAACACTTTGTTGTTGTTGTTGTTGTTGCCTAATAAAATAAAAGTGACCAATATATCTTGTCCTGACATCTTTAGTTCTGGGTAAGAAAACTTAAATGGCCGAGAGTGCTTCAAACAGCTCCGTGCAGTGTAAAACTGTTGGGAAGCTTCTACATCTTTTCATAGAAAGTATAAGTGGCCATTGGTACAAGATTCACAAGTTTAATTTAGGGTTGTAGGGTTGTTGTGTCAGTATTAAAATGACGCGATACATGCCAATCTGTGAGTGAACGGTCGCCTCTTATGAGAGAGAGACCTTTATTTATTCATATCAGGGTAGCCCATTCAGACGCGTTAGGCACTGCTATGGGGCCCTGATAAAAATCAAAATGATAAAACTAATAAAAACTATACAATTATGCTAAAATACTCTTAAAAATTAATAAATTATACTGAAAGTTGATCTTTAAAAAAATGGACTATATACAGTTACAGTAAACACGAATAAAATATTAAAATATTAAAAATTCAGTCTATTAAAAATCACAGAACCATTGTAATAAAAAGAGTTTTTAACTAAATCAGTTCTATCCATAGGCAAGTGCAACACGTTCATTTCCCTCGTAATTCGATTGTGGACAGAACTGTTAAAGGTAAAATAGGTTTTAAAAACTTTCGGGCAGGGCCCTTTCATGCATCTTTTGACGAGTTCATTAACATGGCTCTCTGGTCTATTTACCAGAGATGGCCACTTAAGATAATCCAAAGCTCTGTCACTGTCGCTCATTTTTGAAACAATTTTAGAGGCACGTCTTTGAAGCCTTTCTAGTGACGAACTGTTGCCAACTCCAGAGCAGTTCCACACGGTGTCACAATAATCCATGATAGGATGAATATAAGCTGTGTAAATGGAATTAGCACAGTCTGATGTAAGATTCCCCCTAATGCGTCCTAGCATTCCCAGTCGTTTACCACCTCGGGATAATACATACTTAACATGAGAATTCCAAGAAATATGTTCATCAAATACAACTCCTAAATACTTGAATTCAAAACCACGCTTAATAGGTTGGCCCTTAAACGTTACACTCGCAAAAGCTGCGTCAGAAAGCCTAGCATGAGTTCCGAACAACATAGCTTCAGTCTTAAGTGCGTTTAAGAAAAAGCTGTTATTATAGAGCCACCATCCAATTAGATCAAGATCTTCATTGAGACTTTTCTCTGTTGTAGCGGAGACGTTTCCAGAATAGAATAAGACAGTTTCATCAGCATACATTAGCATACTACACTTGCGAGCAACGGTGAGTAAATCGTTTTGTGGAGCACAAATAACAGAGGTCCGAGGATCGATCATTGAGGCACACCGACACAAATGTATTCAGCGTCTGAGAAAGCTACCTGGAGCCCGACATGAGTGAGTGGTTGGGAAAAATAACCTGGGCCCGGTTGTTCGAAAGCGAGTTAAATCCTAACCTCAGGTTAAATAAGCTTAACCCGAGGATACATTTTAATCGCAGGTTTCTTGTGATGTTCAAACACCGGTTAGCTCAAACCTCGGGTTAAACAGCGGGTTAGATTTAACCCTGCTAGCTAGGTAGGTTAAATAACTAACCTTGGGTTAAATGATAATAAAAGCAATGTCAAAACAATATGGCCGCCTTGTTGTCACTGTTTACTGACTATTAACGACAGAAAGTTCAGACAAATGATGAAAATTAAAAATTTTACAAACGAAGAAGTAAGAACTCGCTACAGGTTTCTAAGCAGGTCAATCCTCCTCAAGTTCTTTTTGTTTCTTTTCGAAAGTTTGTGAATTCGATAAACTTTGCACAAGAAATTAAGATTCTTCCACTTCCCTCGTACTTCGCCAATTTCACTCCCACAGCGTTGCGCCACTGTTAATGGTGTCCAATTCATTTTTTGCCTACGGTTTGTCACACTGTTTGTCAACTTACTTTGTGAAACGTGCAAGTTTTCTTCCATGTTCTCGCTTAAAATTTCTAAGGCGTTGAAATTATTTTTCTGGGATCCTCCACCGACGCCATTTTTTGACGTAAACAAACCAAGAGGTATTATGGGATGCTAGAGTTAGTCGCGGTAAACCCGAGGTTAACTAACCGCTCCTCTAACCGCGCTTCGAACAACGCAATTTTGACCCCAAGTTAACAAACCCGCGGTTAAGAAATTTAACTTCCAGTTAGGCCTAAGCCGAGGTTAATTTAACCCGGCTTTCGAACAACCCGGCCCTGATCAATAGTGTGGCCCGGCGTAACCGATCGAACATTCGGTAATCGAACCCAATCGAACTCCAACCGTTCGTTTGACTTCCATTAGGTTCGGTAATCGAATGTAATCGAACTCACCCAAAACTTTTGCCAATCGAACACTGCAACAATCGAACATAAAACCAATTTCATCTTCTTTCATCATGCGTCAAAAGAATATGTATTGGCGTCAATTTCAAACACGAGTACGCAAAGATGTAGAAAACGTAGTACGTTTTCCGCCCTCTGTGGCATCTCTGCGTACCCGTGTGAGTGCTCTTTCGCCCTCGGTGTCGGTGAAAAGCTTATTATTAAAAAGAAAAGGGGAGTTGGGGGTCTAGCTCTGAAGGTAACTGACGACGGTCGCGGCCAACTTGGACATTTACAACGTGAACTGGTGCCTGTGCTTGCATGTTTCCCAGTATTAATTGTGAATTTATCGATTTTGAATCACTTTAACGATAAAGATTTTTGTTACTTCCGGGTTAATTGAAATATTTTTGTTTTCAAACTGCTTCACACACCCACACAGGGAGATCTTTCCGATCAATTGAAAATGAATGCGTTTTGTCTTTATGCCAAACAAAATCGAACTAATCGGATTGATTGAGTTCCAATGGTTCGATTGAGTTCGGTAATCGAACTCACCGAAAAGTTCCAGTTTAATTATGTTCGATTATTGAACCAATCGAACTACAATCGGACCGATTGGGTTCGTTGAGTTCGATTGATTTTTGGTTCGGTTTCGTTCGATTAGCCACCTTGGGATTTAATCTTTAAAAATATGAGATTACAGGAACATAATACTCGCACGTAAGTACGATGGAGAACTTTTCTGATATTCACCTATCAGCTATAATTTTAAGCACTGAGAAACGCTGTACTTCAGCAGTTTAATTTGGCCTTTTCATTTTGGTCTTAAAGAGAAAGTAAGTTGAATTTCGGATGTCCTATGCGACTTTTGCAGAAGACGCAGTATTCATAGTGATAAAATGGAGTTTAAAAACGTCCCCTGATATACAGTCAACTCCTGTTATTCCGGACCCCCTCGAGACAAACGGTTAATGCCCTTAAGAGAGTCCGTAAAGCCCTGTGCAAACGGACGCAACATTGTTGGATGCACTGGCGGATCCAGGGGAGGAGCCCGGGGGGCCCCGGTCACCCTTCCCCATTATTTTTAGACCAATTCCGGAGAGTTTTGCATATATACATTGGTAATGAATACTTACTGCGTTAATAAAAGAGGATTTCAATTTTTTTTATTTTTTTCTCTTCACGCAATGACAAGCACGCACAGGCTTCACAATTCGTCATTCGTCGGAAATAGATGGTAGGGTAAAGCATGTTTTGCCCCGTACTGGGACATCCAAAGAACCATTCAACCTACTGGCAGGGAAGGCATTACGGAGCAGTTATCTTTGGAAACATTAACGTAGTAAAGCTTACATATCGCCGAACTTAATGACGTTATGAACGACGCATAAAGGGCTAATTAAACAGACAGGTCAGACGTAGAAGGAGGTGGCGGAAATTCGAGAAAATAGTTTAGGAAAAAAAGACAACTCTGACGAATACAGATAAAAAGGTAGGTCTCTATTTCATCATATCGTTTAGCGTATTCAATTCCGAGGATAGTTTAGCGAATTTAATGCCCACACTACAAAATATTTCGTTTTACTTTTCCGCAACGGACTTATAATTATATAACTAGACGTAGGAACAGAAAAAATGTTCGAAATTTCTTCTGAAAAGTTTCTATTTTGCTGCAAAATGCGCCAAATTAAGGGGGTTTAAAAAAAAAGACTTAGAAAGCAAATTAAAAATTTCTTAAACAAAAGCTCAAATCCCAAAGGCTTAGTATTGTTCTGTCTTGTTTTCTTTAAACAATAGGTGTATGCATAATTAATGTAGGGGGTTGTACGGAAATATTGCCCTAAAATGGTCTATCCATGCCGTCTCGAAAATAATTCATCGTGTTATGTAAAAAATGCCCAACATTTCCCTTGTCCGTTTAAATTGGAACATTCCTGAAACAGATGAATGATTTAACGAGTTTGCTAGCGTCCATGGTCTAACCATGGTCATAGGCGCGTTAGTTACAAATGTTTCCATCCTAAGCCGTTTGTTTTTCTTAATTCCCTAATTCTGTTGGCTTACATGCGTTCATAAAGAGTCGGTCTTAACAAAGCAGCACCGTTAAACAGGTTATTGTAAAATGTAAACCCCATTGCAACATTAGCAAACAATGTAATCTTTGTCTTTATGAAAAATTCATCATCATTTGTAAAAAAAAGCTTTGTAGCCTAAACAGGCGAAACGAACTGGCGAGTTCATGCACCCACAAACAAACAAACAAATATGCACTTCAGAACTTTAGAGTAACGTAACTAAGACACAATCCATCTGTTACCTAGATACAATCTCTTAACGCATCCCTATAACAACCACCCAAATTTTACTGCCGGCTTTAATTTTAACGGTCAATCCTTGAAGTTTCCTGATGAGTGTGGTCCTATAATTTCGGAACCATACGAAACAGCACTGTCGCAATAAACGATCGATGATTACTCCTGAAGCCTGAACTCCTGTGAAGTTATTAATACATAAAAACACCTGTTCACATACATAAATATTTACATCCAAAAATCTCCAATGGAGGTGGCTTCGGGCACAGATAACCCAGGCTGGTCACGTACGCGACCTGAATCGAATTAGTCTGCTGCGAGTGGCTTCGCAGCAATAAGCTTTGTTATGTTTTTATTAGACAATATAGAATTTAGTGATGTTCGCCGAAACAGGAAGCTGAGCTAGACAACGTATTATTCGTTATTTACAATTACTGAGACAATAACCTGTTTAACCTTAATGCAAGTGAAGGTAAAAAATTCACGTGAATTGAAGCGATACGTTTCCCGGAATATTTCAAGCAATTCCTGGAACTCTACGGTAAATAAAGTCGGTGTTTTGGCTAAATTTGTCTTCAGCCAGGCTCTGTTGTATTTATTTAACTGATAAATTGCTTTAGTTATTAAGAGTTTTCTAGGAAGTGTGACAAGGTTTGTTTTCCCTTGGGATTAAAACGTCTTATACACGACGGAAGCAAAGATTGAAAATGATCTGATTCGCTAGCGAAGCTTTATGAACAGCTTACTTTTGAACTCGACTGGAAATTTAGTCTTTCACTCACTCCAATGCTCGCATGCTCTTACCTTTATCGTGGACAGGTTTCAGACAAATAATACGCTGATTTATTCTCACAGACTTTTATACACTGTAGCTTGATATACACACTTATTTTGGTTCAAAGTTCAGTTTTTATCCATCGCCTTCGTGTCGTGTAGTTAATGTCAAATATCAACAATCGAAATAAACTGCTGCTGATGCAAATTATTTAAAATGTCATGCAGTACTCGCAGGACTTCACTTTCCATTGGAAACTACTAGTACAAGTTCATAAAGTGCCAGTCTTAACAAAGGAGCACCGTTAAATCGGTTATTTTCTCAGTAATTGTAAGTAACGAATAATACGGAATCTAGGTCAGCTTTCTGTTTCGGCGAACATCACTGAATTCTATTGTCTAATAAAAAGCTTATATTTAACTTTTTTACATTCAGTTCATCAAATACATACCTATTTGACATATGCCGCTCTAAGCACCCTCTGCAAAATCTGTGACCACATCTAGTAAGAACCGGATTTCGTAACGCAGATTGGCAAATTGAACATTGTAAATCGTCGTCAACAGGATTGACAAAGTCTTCTTCATAGCCACAAGGCAAGTCGGTGCTTTTTTCCCCTGGTTCACTTGAAGCATTGGTTCTTATCATGTCCGCTGCAAAAACATGTCGTCCTGCAAAGTATTGTAGTTACATGTAAAAAATCTAAAACAAACGAGACAGCGCTTTCCTTGTGCACCGCAGGTGTTACCTTAACAACAAGATGGAGTCGAAGGGCAATCTCGTACCCAGAGTCTTCGGGCTTTCTGGTCAGCGGGGCAACATCGGCGAAGACTCTGGGAAAGTAGAATTCGAATTCCCAGAAAACTTGGGAATCCGATCTTAGTGCGCATGCTTTAGTTTAAAACGGAATGACAGTCCTCGAGAAAGCCTAAACTTGATTCTTTCAGATGTACACACGATCAAAAGGAACACGATTCTTTTCAATGATGATTTATATTCATCGGTTTCCAGCGAGACCGAGCGATGATTTGAGTGTTTTGGGGCCCTTTGGTTCAAAACTTTTGTTTTGTCTGCATGACTTTGTCCAATTTTCTGTGCGCGGTGATGCAAAACTAATGTTTATACTCCCGACGAGAAATGCCATAAATACTGTCGTTTTGATCAAGTTGGCTTTCAATCGGTCATGTTGAAACACAGACCATGCAGACTGCAGACTGAAGACTGCAGACTGTGCAGACCATGCAGACTGTGCAGACTGTGCAGACTGAGTGTTATTTTTTTACTTGTACCTCAATTTTCTAGTAAAATTTTTGCTATAGTTTCCTGCTTCCTCTCATTATGTGCACTGTGCATCACCATCATATGTTGCACTGATGTGTACCTGCAAGGGTCATGGGTAGGAAATGAGAAAGTCATGAGCTCATGTTTACCGGCAGATGTAAAAGCAGTTTCGCTTGCTTTTAGCTGCTCCGCTTTTACGCAGGAGCGAGCTCGATGGAGGAAGGTAAGCTGTTTCTTTCTGTAACTGTATTATATTGCCACGATTATTTATTTGTTTATAAATTAGTAGAAGAAGCTTTTACAGGTTAAGTGACTTAAAATAAAACCCTTTTCGGCTTCCTACAACAGCTACGAGAGAGACATTTCCTCAATTTCTTTGATTGTTGATGATCGTATTTGGTTTCACTCTGTAATTCAAACCGGTGACTTGCCGTCATTTCTTCCAATCTTACAGATACCAATGTCATTGTTGTTAGCTCGGGATATCAAACCGAGACGTTTGAGAGATGGGCCTTGCTTTAAAATGTGTGAATAAATCAACGGTATATCTAAATCAATTCTGCTCGTCAAAAAGCTTTTGGGGCTAGTTGAAATGACGTTTGGGCTAGTAAATGCTAGCTTCAGCTTGCCCGAATGGCAAGCTGTAAAACTGATTTTCTTTGCACCCTGCTTTAAGATATTTTCTTTACAGACCAGTTTGAAAGAGAGAGAGAATATAATTTATCCACAAAGGTGGAATCTAGGCATCGTATGGCAAAATTCTGTAGACCTTGTCATGGTTTTCGACGCCATCTTGACGAGTAGGCAAACGCGTGAGAAATTACAGTGATTGTATGAGAATCTAAAGTCGAATAATTTCCATGTTCATAAAATGGGAGAAGCCCGATCTCAACCAGCAGGTGAAACACATTAACCTGACTCTCTCCCTGTAAAGAACTAAGCGTCACTCATTTAACTTTGTTTTAGTACGCAATATTGACAACGCAATGTAACGAACTTTGTAAGATCGCGCGCGCTTTAAATTCAACGGCGATTTCAAAATATGTAACACTGAAGATGACGGATGTACCGTCGAAACATGTCTGGAAAATTAAAGAAAGTTGTTATGTTTATACGACTATCTATATTGTTGCTGCTATCTAGACCTTTTGGTACAATGTATAAGAAAAATCAGAGTACCTTTTAATATCTCGTACTACCTTCGCTTCGGCTTCCATCTCTTTATTACACCATTACTTCTATTAAACAGCTTCTAACGGGAAGCCTATTAGAGGGGTAAAACTGGGTAAACAAATTTTGAAATAAAAAAGGTATCCGGCCGAAATTAGCTAAAATTATAGGCAGAATCTTTGAACAGAAAGTAGTTTCCAAGTCCACGAGAAGAGTGTCAAAATGACCGCTTGAACGTAGCGATTCTCTTTAAACTTCTCATAAACGTGAATGAAACAGTTACCTTTAACGACAACCAAACCAGAAGTAAGATATGGCACTCCAAAAACTTTAAAGACGAGTTAAAATTCTAAGAATAACATCTCGAGGGTTGAAAATAAAAGATCTCACCAAAGATCTTTCATGGGTCAGGTCGCGAGTATCCACGCAAATGACGAACTCTGATTGGTCGGATCTCACGGTCTACCAACTTCCTGTCGGACCTCCTTTGTTTTGCTGACGACCAATAAAAAAAAAAGATCTAATTCCAAGAGTACTTGTTAACGTTGCCCCGCTGACCAAAAGTCCAGAAGACTCTGGGTACGAGATTGGTCGAAGGGCGGCATGAATAAGTTTTCTGTGCCCAAATGGTGCTTAAAGTGACTGAATCTGAAGGAAACTACCTGGATGCTTGTTCCTTGCAGAAGACAAAAACTTCTCCTGTTCCGTCCGAGGCCGATTTCAACCAGGTGAAGGAGCACGAAAGCGATTCCGTTTGTAGTGATGTTAATTCCACAGATTCTGACTCACGGAGGAACTGGTCAATGGTAAACCTGTGATAACAAGGTCTGGAAGACAAGTCAAAGCGTGGATACGGTGTGGTGTTTAGGCGGTCGCAAAGCGCTAAGCCACGACATTAAGGTAAACTGAAGAACTGTTATTCATACAGCATGGATGTTACTTCAAATGTTTCAATGGGCACATTTATTACGCCTTCACCAAGAGAGGATAAAGGGACAGAGAAGGCATCCCCCATACACACCCTATTCCATAGGTAATTCGTCTTGATTTATTTTTAGAATCAGGATAAAGTTACCTCGCGCACTGCGTGGATGCTTCGTGGAGGTTTCGCATAATCAAACGCTGTGCAAAACATGTCGGGCGAAAGGCATGAAAGCGTAAAGAGATCGAGAGCATTCCTGAATATTGAAGCGAAATGGATCGGCGCTCACCTGAGAAAAGGGAATCGCTGGCCTCTTTGACAACCCGTGAAATAAGTTTAACACGAAGTTGTCGTAACCTCAGTGCTTTAATAAAATGAGAAATTTCGCCGGTCTATTGAAGCCGGTCGTTTGTACAATAAAGCAAGTAGGACGCCAAGTGTTATTTTTGTTGAATAATAAAAGACTAATAAAAGAATAAATATCAAACCAGAAATTGCTTTCAAGTTTGACATTTAATATTTACTAGGACTCTCTTATAAGTCACACAATTCCTAAAGGGACGACATGACAATCGAGATATGTTCTCTCCTTCCGCGATTCTTTTTTAATTTCTGTTTCGCTAACACAGCTTTAGCAGAAATCTCTCTGTAGTCGTTTTCGTCGACAAAACGAATAGCAAAAGCAATATCGCTCTCCGCCATTTTGTTCTGCGTCAATTCGTGAAGGACACGTGGCTCTGAGCGTGGGTCATCCAGGCGGAACACATTCGCTCTATATGATTGGCTGTTGTCTAATCCCCCTGGGAATCTGTGGTCTTAAAAATAACTAGAGACGAACTACCTACGGAATAGGATGTGTATGGGGGATGCCTTCTCTGTCCCCTTTATCCTCTCTTGTCGGCGGCCTAATAGACCCCTGGTTAGATCTGAAAAAAGGGGACCGCGTTGGAGCTCGCCTCTTGCTGTTAAGTTCTAAAAATTTGGTCATTTCACTTCGCAGTTGACGGAGAACAGCAAAAAAAATTACAGAAAAGCGTAAACTTGACTACGGCCTCCCATCGATGCCTTCTTAGTTTCGCAAGGCCCGTAATAAAAGGCCTACATTCACCCCAAAGTATACACATGCACATGACGATGGACAGATCATCGGAGCGGGGCGGGGAAAGTACCCTCTAATCTGGCTTATATGGGTAGGATCGGCCTGCAAAAGGTACCTTTTCGCCAGGCTTCAGGTGTATAAAAGAGCACCATTTTTTATCATTTTTACCGTCTTTTTTGTCAAAATATTATGGTATGTGGAAGGTTAAGGGGTTGGACCACAAGGCAGAGCCTGCAGATATGGAGTGCAAAATATAACCTATGAACCGTAATGACTGGTTGACTTAAACGAGCGATTTCTTTTTTCATCACTTATTGCAGGATTTTTATGGATTCAATAAAAAAGTATCTTTATTATTGCAAAATTGTTAAACGAAATTAGCCTGCGAAGTACTGGGTGTATTTTGCAATTCGAACGATGATATCTTAGGGACTAATGCCTCTGCCATTTTGGACGTTGAAACTGACATAACGGAGAGTTGGGGCGAGTCAAAAGTGATATCCAAGAAAGGGAGAGGTTGACTTTGCCTTCAAGATGGTAGCCACGATATCTGCGCTTTCATTAAAGAAAGCCTTTAAGGAAAGTACACGTAGTAAAAAATAAACGGGAGAAACAAACAAACAAACAACAAGGTCACATAAAAATCGTACTTAATAAAACCTATGGGAACATAAGACATTGGTCGGTGTGTTGCAATATAATAACTTCTGAGTTAACAAAGCTGATTTTAACGCTATGACTGCGACTCTAACCTGCAATCAGGTGGCATTTTTTTTTCTCCTTTGCCTGTCCACCGACCTATTCATTCCCATTGCTCCCCCCCATTGCTCTGTACCCGCCCCCTCCAAAAATCAGTCTGACCCGAAATACCTTTTCACTCTATTTTTCACCTGACAATTCCGGAACAAAAACTGATTGTTCATAATCGCTTTTAGGACGCACAAACGTCTCCAACTTTATTTAATTTTCGAACAGAACTAAATAATGAAAAAAATCCAGTTACCATCATTACACGGCTACAGGAAATTTATCGCTATCAATCGAACTGTACGATCAGTGTTCAGATTATAGTCGTGAGAGGATTTTTGATTGGGCTTGCCATAGGCAGCCCATTTATTGTTTCCGTTT